ATATGGAGTGCCTGAGGCTACAAACCGTCTACGGACTCCGTCTGTGGAACAAGAATTGGATAACCCTGTCGTAAAACCTTGCATCAGATCGCCGCGCCTGGGCAGCGATGATTCGAGATGTTCATGAAGCCGGCTCATCCTCCCGTAGGAGATAGCCGAAGTAAGTAAATAAATAATAATAATAATAATAAACAAAGCATGGACAGTCTCATGAAGATTTTTCGTGAGAACATTTGTCACTTCTAATTTACTTTGTTGGGAGGAGAAACGATTAGCTATAGTTCTAAGCTATATCTGATCACCTCTCAAACCACTGAATCTTTTACCATTTTTAACCCAATCCAGAGAGTCTCCAGATGCTAAGAACCAATGGCTGGAGAGACTATTGGTGATATGACCTCCATGTTACTATTCTTTCTTCCGTACATTTCTGCTCATCGGAGTTCTTCTGAGTCTTCTTTTTCCTCTACTTTTATGTTCTACATGGAGTGTAGGCAAATCTCTTATCATTTATCTTATCATCAACTGGAATAAAAATGTACCAAGTTTAAATTCTCGACATAATCAACATAACGTTCACTCATTTATTGTGTATTGTTCTTCATTTCAACACTAGATTTGAATATGAAAGGTTTCAACATGTAGTTCAGAATGATTTAAAAAACTTGTACTTCTCAGGACATAGATATTCATATTTGAGGATGAAGGCAGTACCGAGAGAGTGTATATCGCACTTACCAAGGCACTCTGCTGGGACTCATGCAGCTGTGTAACAGCTTACGGAGAGTTGTCGTCTCAAGAGATGATAATTTAATTTCATCGTAGATGTACTTATGTAGTTGACCCTGAATGATTTCAGCGACTTACGGATTGGAATTTTACAAGGGAATAGTCCAGTCCTCCTAGGTGAAGACGCCGACAAAATTCAGAATCTTCTAAACATCTTGAGCAGAAATCTTCCAATGTTTGACATGCGATTCTCTCCTGTAAAATGTAAGATAATGTTTGCAGGGCTGGACTGTACTGAATCCCAGCTTGAAGATGAGGAGTGAATTGGTTGAGCGTATCGATCACTTTACTTGTTTAGGAAACTGCATCTGTCCCGAATGGCTGGTTGCTGACGAAATCTCAGCAGGGATACAAAAGGCTCGTGTGATATTTGCCAGCTTACGTCGTTTTTTGGCATAAACATGATATCTGGCTACCGATCAAATGACGTATGTACTGCTGAGTAGTTCGCTCCGCCAACCTTCATGGCTGTGAAACATAGCCATTGAAAGTGGAAGATATGAAAAATCTAATTAATTTTGACTATAGATATTTACATTCTATCTTCCGTGTTAAGTGGTATAATATGGTGAATAGTAATACAGATTAGGCGGAGAGTGTTAGGTAGGGAAGAGAAGTCAATCTATGAGATTGTGTAGCTCCATTGATTGAGATGACTAGGACACGCAATGTGTATGTCAAGTAACTGTCTTCCTCTTCCAGAAGTGTTAAATGATATAGTAGGATTAGATTGGAAAAGAGCTAGTAGCGGTGAAACCGAAAGATGGAATCACTCCAAAAAGCCGTTGATAGTTGGTTCGGCTCAGTCACGTAGGAAGGTGTAGACTGTTGTCTGGTTTGGGTCGTTGGGATTCTAAGAACCAATGTGTGGAGACTGTTGGTGATATGTATCAAATCCGTTCTCAGTGGTATAGATCCATTCGCTCTCTGTGCGTCGGTGGCACACCGGTTGGGACTCTGGCCGACCATGCACATGGTTAGGGGTTCGATCTCCTGTTGACGCACACCTGATATCAATGGTTGGCCTGCGAAATTGGGCTACGGATATCACATGCGGAAAATTCCATACTTGTACCTAAATATAATGTGGAATCAAGCTGTAATCAAAAATAAAATTATCCATTAGACTGTCACGTTTTTTCATGTCACTATTCTTTCTCCCTCATTATCCCCATTCCTATTCAACTTCATCATAGACGTACTAATGGACTTAACCCTAACTCACTTTAGCGACTCAGGGATTGACTTGCTACCAGGGAAGAATCTCGTTGACTTAGAATATGCGGACGATATAGTCCTTCTAGGCGAGGACGCTGACAAAATGCAGAGTCTACTGAACACCTTGAGCAACAATCTAAGAATGTTCGGCATGCGATTCGCCCCTGTAAAATGTAAGATGATGCTGCAGGATTGGACTTCACCGACCCCTAGATTAGAAATAGGAAGTGAAGTGGTAGAACACGTTGACCGCTTCACTTACTTGGGAAGTACCATCAGCCAGCGCCAACGGGTTGATCTCAGACGAAATTTCAGCACGAATACAGAGGGCTAGTTTTGCATATGCCAGTTTACGCCGTCTCTGGCGTAGACGCGATATCCGACTATCGACCAAAGGGCGTGTGTACTGCTCAACAGTCCGCTCCGTCCTCCTTTATGGCTGTGAGATCTGGCCATTGAGAGCAGAAGACATGAAAATATTAGCTGTCTTCGATCATAGGTGTCTGCGTTCTATCTCCCTTGTGAAGTGGTATAATAGAGTGAGCAATATTGAGGTTAGGCGTCGGTCGAGTGCTAGGTAAGGCGGGGAAATCAATCGACGAAACGGTGAAATTACTTCGACTGAGATGGTTAGGGCATGTGCTACGTATGCCTAGTCATCGCCTTCCTCGACAGATGGGCAATGTTAGCTGATATAGGGCCAGGCTGGAAAAGAGCTAGCGGCGGTCAAACGAAAAGATGGCACCAGTCAATGAAATCTACAACAGTTAGTCTAAGCCAGCCACGTAGGAAGATGTAGACTTCCTGGTTGTGGTCCTCGGGATGGTAAAAACCAATGGTTGGAAACAATTGTTGACATGGCTCAAAATCGTTGTTCTCAATGGCTGGCGCAGATGCATCCACTCCTTGTGACTTATGATTTCCAATTAAACTGCGTTTTGTTCTCCGTTATTACTATTCCTTTGTCTCACACCTCTGTTTACTGTCTATATTTTGCATTTCTCCTACTTTCTTCTCTTGCTTCGTGTGCTACATGGAGTGTGGCTAGTTGAACTGCCGCACATATGTGCAAAGTTCTATGTCGAAAACCGACCGACCGACCTCCCTCATTTCTACTTAAGTTTAATTTTTATCTCTATTTTGTTTACGTCTGTGTTCTCCTTGGACACTGAGGTAACTTGAACTGCTACACTTCTGTGTTGTTGATGATGTTCTATGTTGAAGCTACAATTATGTTTGACGTTTAATTGATTAGTGTGATTAACATATTTAGTTTCATGGAGTTTCTTTAATCCTGTGTTTTTATATATTTAAGCTTGTTTAAGCTTATTTCCGCGCTGTGCGTATAAATTTTTAGAGAGAGAGAAAAAAATAAGTATTTTCATGCACTTAGATGCTTTCTGTTTTATAATTTTTGAAACACTGTCAGTAAAAGAAATAATCAGGTCGACTTGCGGTGGCATACATTCAACTATTATAATACTGATAGAGATGTTTAAAAGTTAATTGCATCATATATATATATATATATATATATATAAGAATATTTTACTAGGTAGTAAGAAACATTACTCAATTCTACAAGTAATTTGTTTATACATTGGTTTTTGTTTTGCTTCATTTCTTATATTTTTGCATCAGTTTTCAAGTGTTGGTGATTTTTTAGAGAAGTGATTGACACTAGTAGTGAGAAAACTACTGAAAACCAGAAAGTACTGGGTAACTGTTTCATCCCTGGTTTAGGACTGTCTAGAAGCAGCACCCCTGTCTTCTAGGACCTCAAGGTTATGAGATGTGCCCGTTGAGTATATATATACTGAGCCACTGGACACAGAATTTAACGCCTCATTAATTCTATCTAACTTCCACCATCGGCGCCAGGTGTTTGTCCTCCCGCTCGAATTGGTGGATCCCAATGATCACAACTTCTCACTCGAATCTTAGAAGCTCCATTGCCTAGTTCAGTCACTAATTGTTGGTATTAGATGGTTGAAGGCCATCGGCAGGAAGCCTTGGACCTAGGTTTCGTGCTGGTTGGCACTCATCAGCAAGGTGCATCTACAACCTTGAGGGAACTGATGTCCCTTCTGAGATTCGAACCCGCGTCACCCAGTGATGCAGTCAGAGACGTTACCACTGAGCTATTCAGGCTCGCAACTGACCTCCTGTAGGACTGTATTGGATATTTTTTTTGATTGCACACCAGTCAGCAACTAGTGTAATGTGTCTAGTCCTATCTTCGGTGCAGACTGAATCCTATCAGTCATGTTTGCAATGTGGTCCAAGGCTTCCTGCCGATGGCCTCCAACCATCTAATACCAACAATTCACAGCGCACCGTAATGGTGAGCCATCTAGCATGGTGGCCACATTGCAAACATGACTGATAGGATTCAGTCTGCACCGAAGATAGGACTAGACACATTACACTAGTTTCTGACTAGTGTGCAATCAAAAATATCAGTCACTAATGATCGACTTCAAGTTTGCTAATTACAGTCGGATTCTATTTCAATGTCTGAATGGTCAGTTGGTTCACCTCGTAACCTAAATGCTTTGGGTCCCATCTCTCATAAGAGTCATTGATGCTCTGTGCCTCTGAGGAGTCCCAAATTACGACGAAATAGCTGCTCAATACTCACTGAGTGTGCGTGATTCTCCGACATCTGTCGGAGATGTCGCCTTGTAACCGGAAGGTCCTGGGTTCGAACCCCTGTGGGTGGGTGCACAATAACTGAAGTGTCCCAAACTAAAGCGAAACTGCTGTCCAGTACTTCCAGGTCTTCCAATGGTTTTTTAACTGATGTCAACTCATGATAGAGTCCTGTAACCAATCATATCTCTGTAGGCCAACACTTGGAGATGTCAGTTTGTTATTTAACTTGCCATTTTCCTTTAATTATCTTTTTTTTTTAAAGTAACCCAAATGTGTTGAGATATTATTATTATTATTACTAGTGTTGTTTATGTTGCATTTCATTATTTCCTGTTTAGATAAATTTTAATCCAGATTTGGATGTTGTACTATTACTCACTTAATAAATCATCGTCATTATTATTATTATCATATGACTACAAAAATTGCAACTGTAGCCAATTTGGCATTTCATGCATTTCAACAGCATTCAGTACGTGTTGCTATTAGTGCAGCCTCGTCTACATCCCTTAACAATGGAATAAATGATTCTTATCCTTGTGTAAATGGTAATTCTACAAATCATCATCAACAGAATCATTCTTTGGATAAATCCAGCTCTCCGACATCAATATCAACAAGAACAACTACAACAACAACAGCGGTGAAGCAGAACAAATTACCAGAATCATTGGATCGTTTATTATCCTGTGTACGTTCCCTTACTCCAAGTGATGTTGGTTTCAATGTTCGATGGATTTCAGATTCAAATATATCTACTGCACCGGTAGCTTATGTACACATTATGGAGAATGAAGTATTCTCTATGGGAATATTTATTTTACGACCTGGTTCACGTATCCCGTTACATGATCATCCAGGCATGTTTGGTATATTAAAAGTTTTAATTGGATCTGTTCGATGTCGAAGTTTTACACGATTAAAAAATGTTAAATCAAATGATTTAAAAGATTATATACCATCTTTATCAGTATTTAATGATTCAAAATGGCAATTAACTGATTTAATTATTGCTAAACCACATCAAGATACTGTTCTATCACCGGATCATTCACCTTGTTTACTTTCTCCAGTAGAAGGTAATTTACACGAAATAACACCAGTTGATGGGCCTGCAGTCTTTATCGACATTTTAGCACCACCGTATGATCATGATCTGGGGACTAGAGAATGTCGATTCTATAAAGAGGTGATTATCCCTCCGATGAATTCTAATCCAATGTTATCATTACATAATAATAGTAATAGTAATAATAATAGTCTGCATAATAATAATGATCAAAATAATAATAATAGTAATAATATTAATGAAGAGTCAACTTCATCAACTGATGGTAATGATCCCGATCAAGAAGTCAGTTCATCGTTGAACCAATCTGAGAAAGAGTTGAACAATTCATCGATTGTTTATCTAGTTGAAACGAATCAACCATTGGATTATTGGTGTGAATCTGCTGAGTACAATGGGCCAAGTGTTGTTTAAGCGTGCAGAACAACCAGCAGTATTTTATATTCCTATTGGCTGCTGTCTGTTTCTCCTGGACGCGGAATACTCTGCTCATTGCTATCATTATCATCGTCATTATTATTATTATTACTTTTGCTTAGCCTTGTAATACTCTTGTCTTTTGTGTCTCTTTTTATTTTTAATAAAACAGAAAGTCTTATTCTTCATCTTTCTATATGGCATTTCTATCTATCTATCTATCACAGTCCAGTGACGTAATCATCTCAGTTGTTGTTCTCCAATACACACACACACACACACACACCATACTCCCTTTCCTTTCGTTTTCTCTCTCTTTTATAACATTTCCTCTACCTCCACATATTATTATTACACACATATATATATATATATAAATCTGTATACATGTATATGTAGAGGATATTTTTATTGATGATTATAATAATGCAACACTGATAATTCTCGCTTGCTCATTCATTAGATCATCTAATCGCAACCGGAAAACACAACCAATCGATGTTTACAAATTTATCACAGATACCGTGGTATACACTAACTAGTCTCTTGTTCAACTTCCCTAGTAGTCTTTTTTGTCCTCCGCTGCCTCCAGCGCTATCTCTCTACCACGTCGTCCTCTTTCCCTTTTACTGCTTTAGTCTTGAAAGAGGCGAGAAATAAGTATTGTATATGTAATTTACTTATATATATATATATATATATATATATATATATATATATATATATATATATAGATGTATTGACTTTTTTACTCTCTTATATCTCGGCGACTACTACTGCTACTACTACTACTCACTTTAATAAAATCAGTAGTATGTACACTGTCATGTTTTGATTTTTTTAAAAAAAAAATATGTCCCCTTTCGATAACTTCGCCATCCTCGTCGTCGTCGTCGTCAACATCCTATCGTTCCATGGCATACGCACAATAACACATACAGCACACCAGTCATCCATTTGATCAGTCAGTCAGTCAGCAAGTTACAGGTTTTTAATACGCTTGTTTAATCATCATTTCACCGTGATTTCATATTTTTTGTATTTTGTTTTCGTATTTTATGATCAAATGCGATTCGTCCGTCAGTCATCATCATTATCAGCAGGAGCAGGAGCAGCAACATCAATGGTTTCTCTGACTAATTCATAGAGATAGTCAGTCAGTCAATAGAGAGGATGGTGTAGCTGTAGGTTGGTTAGTTGGTTGGTTGGACGACGACAGTGTTCAACTTTGGATGATGAATGAATATTCCTTTTTAACGTCCTCTTCTTCGCTTTCTTCCTCTTCCTGCCCTTCCTCCTACTGCTATCACTGCATTCACAAGTGCACATTTAGAGTGTGTGTGTGCTTGTGTGTGATGGCAATCTGTAGTGTATACACGCATACTTACATACACATACACTCATACACACACACAATTAAAGCTGTTTATATTAATTATAATAAGAAATGACTTCTATACGTGTGTGTGTGTGTTGTGATAACTTTTTATGTGTACTTTGACAAACACCAACACGCATACAAACACACACACGCATCCAAATTCTTTGCTGATCTACTTATATGTATTTTTGTTTTCCATCTAGTGAAAAGAATTAATTGTTAAATATATATATATACATAAATCTAATGATAAAAAGGGTTTCTCTTCTGTGTATGCCTCTGTGTGTGTGTTTATGTTTACTTACTTACTTTGCTTCGGCTATCTCCTATGGAAGGATGAGCCGGCTTCATGAACTTCTCAAATCATCGCTACCCAGGCGCAGCGATCTGATGAAGAGAGTTTACGAAGTTTCATGGGAATTTGGTACGAGTGATGTCCCCAGAATCGCTCGGCCTTTTGTTTGAGAGTGCAGCTCTAGCCTTTACACAGCCAAGTGTGACCTACAAGGCAGTAGGAGTGGAGTAGGGAGTCCACTATCCATTGGCAGCCGGTGACCGGAGTTCGGTTCATACGCCTTTTTGAATGGGGCCAGACATCCAACAAGCCCTTTGTCCATACGTCTGCCGGTGAGCTCCAGTCAGCTTCATACGCCAGTCGTTGGAGGTTTGGAATCAGGGTTTAGCCATCTCCCCTAGACTTTCATCCAATGGACAGTCAACCCGGTGAAGAACGCCGGGCATCCGCTTTCGCCCTCTCACTTTGGAGAAAAACACCTCCGCCACGTGAAGGCAGTGAGTAGGACTTCCTCAGGAGAGGCTATGTAAGACGCCAGGTCATATGGGAGCATTTCAAGAGGTGTGCGGAGGGGTGGCCAACCCGCAGCGCAAGGCACCCACCCCCGACCATCCTGAGGCTTTGGAGGCTGTGTTTATGTTTAGCTAACATGACTGAGTAGTTTTGAGTCATTACTTGACAGGTGTGTGTGAAGTGATGTGTATTTATGAAACACAGGTTTATTGTTCTGAAGGGGAGTGGTGGTGGTGGTGGCGATGGATATCACACACCCACACACAGAGAGTTGGTCAGGCTGATGTTGAAACAGTTGGAGGTGAGATTTCATTGAACTTGGGTTATGTTTTGACTGGGAGCGGACTGTGTACTGCTCAACAGTCCGCTCCGTCCTCGTTTATGGCTGTGAGACCTGGCCATTGAGAGCAGAAGACATGAAAAGATTAGCTGTCTTCGATCATAGGTGCCTGTATGCGTTCTATCTCCCGTGTGAACTGGTATAATAAGGTGAGCAATATTGAGGTTAGGCTTCGGTCATGTGGTAGGTAAGGAGGGGAAATCAATCGAGGAGGCTGCGAAATTACATCGACTGAGATGGTTAGGACATGTGTTACGTATGCATCCCTAGTCATCGCCTTCCTCGACAATGGGCAATGTTAGCTGACATAGGGCCAGGCTGGAAAAGAGCTAGCGGCGGTCAAACGAAAACATGGCTTCACCAGTCAATGAAATCCACAACAGTTAGTCTAAGCCACGTAAGAAGATGTAGACTTCCTGACTGGTTGGGGTCCTCGGGACGGTAAAAACCAATGGTTGGAAACAATTGGTGACATGGCTCAAAATCGTTCTCAATGGCTGGCGCAGAGGCATCCACTCCTTGTGACTGATGATTTCCAATTAAACTGTTTTGTTCTCCGTTATTACTACTCCTTTGTCTCACACCTCTGTTTACTGTCTAAATTATGGAGTTCTTCTACTTTCTTCTCTTGGTTTGTGTGCTACATGGAGTCTGGCGACTTGAACTGCCGCAGATGTGTGCAAAGTTCTATGTCGAAAACCGACCGACCTGGAGTTGAGTGTTGTTTAAGTCAAACGGCACAGCAACATCAGCAATGTCAACATCTCTGTTAACAAGACAAGATGTGAATATTATAGGGCGTTTGAATAATATCTATGTCTGTGTATAGTGCTTGATTATTGTTGAGCTGCTCCTATGAGAATAATCAAGGTTTGAGGATAGACTTCTGTGGTCATCCTTGCGAAATGCTCTGATTGTAGTCACATCTTCATAACCAGGCAAGTTCTAATCACAGTCTTCACGCGATGGTGTTGATGTTCCTCGTAAAGGTGAAAGGGCGAACGTGAACGTTTGGCTCGTACAAATGGACTGTTGGATATCCTGGTCTACCTAAGGGAGCTGAGGAACTCTTATTCCAAACTTGTGATATATATCTATATATATATATATTGCATGGAAGATTTCATCATGAGCTGACATCAGTTAGAGAACCACTGGGAAACCTGAGAGTACTGGACAGCTGTTGCGTCCTAGTTTGGGACTCTTCATCAGTACGCGCCCACCGGGATTCGAACCCAGGACCTTCTGGTTACAAGGCAAGCTCGTAGACCATTGAGCCACTGGGACCCGATCCAATGGTCTACGAGCTCGCCTTGTAACCAGAAGGTCCTCGGTTCGAATCCCGGTGGGTGCGTACTGATGAAGAGTCCCAAACTAGGACGAAACAGCTGTCCAGTACTCCCAGGTTTCCCAGTGGTTCTCTAACTGATGTCAGCTCATGATGAAATCTTCCATGCAATTAAACAAAATCCCTACCAAACCAATACTTGATATATATATATATATATATATATATATATGTATATATATATAAATAAATATGAGTCTGAACGGTAGATGTCCAGGTCTAGCTAGGGGAGGTGGAAGACTGTCATTCCAAACCTGTGATTTACATTGACTCAGTAATCAGGACATACTGAATGGCGCATCAACCTGTTTCAGTCACCGGAAACCATGAGAACACAGCTGAAGTTGCTGTCCCATCGGCTTGTGGATCAGACTTCAAGTCAAATGCTCGGAGGTGCAGGTGGTCCCTTGAGACAACCACCTAGTTCTGTCTCTGGTTGTCTTTATAGTATCCCAGACGTCGCACAAAGTTCAGATTTTGTCTGGCTCATTATTTGGTGCCAATAGTATATGTAGTTTGTATTTTAATATTTGTGGCAGTGTCAAGCTGGGGGAAGATGTTGGTTAACCGATAAGCTTAGATAAAAATAGACAAAATTTTTGCCTGAGGCGGATGATTTGCAATTAGTAGTGTTCTCTGACCTGGTTGGTTCAGTTGCTGGGCTTTCGTCGTCCTTTTGGACAACATCTTCAGCGCTGAACACAGCAAAACCTACCTCTGCGTCCTACTCTATGGCTGATAGAACTTCTTTAAGAGACGCACATTCATAAAAAGCTCCAAAGACAGCAAAAGATGATGATTCGTAAATGGATCTATGTGATTCTGTCCAACAATAATAACGCCAAATACTCAAAATTACACGGAGATGAATCAGGCATACATTAAGGAGACCGTCAAATGACATCGCATGCCAGGCCATCTCTCGATTGGAATCCAAATGGGAAACGATGAATGGGTCGTACGTGGGTGACATAAACGCGATCGTGTGAGGAAGAGATGAGAGAGATTTTGGTCAATCGTGGACCCTGCTGAAGAGGACGGCAGAAAGCAGAACAAAGTGGAGATATGTTGTTGAAGCCAGCCCTATGTTCCACTCGGAACCCAAGGGAACAATAATGATAAAATACTCAAAATTACCTTAACAGTGCTTTTGGGCAGTTATACAGTCAACAGAATTATAGGAAAAAAAATAGTCTTCTAAAAATCTGCTGTAAGAAGCACCTGTGAAGCTGCTGGCTGGCTGGATTCAACATAGAACTTGGCACCGAAGTGCAGCAGTTCCAGTTGCCACGTTCCAAATAGCATACAAAGGTAGACAAGAAAATGAGTGGAGAGAATCAATAGAGTTTTGACAAGTATACGAGTGAAACAG